ACATTTGAGTTATTGATACAGGAGTCAAGCTTTAGGAACAGGAATACAGAGAATGAATAATGCTGATGTTTGGATAGATATATTGATGTTTGAAAATGTAATAGTACATCTCTAGCCCTGTAACAGTTTTTTTAAACATTCCTGAATTCTTGATTGAGCATTTTTAGATTCACCGCAAAATTGAGCAGAAGGTAGAGAAATTTCCCATTTACCCTCAGCTCCCATACATGCACGGCCTCCCCAATTATCAACAGCCCCCAGCAGAGTGGTACATTTGTTACAATTGATGAATCTGAATTGATACATCATAATCACTCAAAGTCTATAACTTTACATTGGGATTCACTCTTGGTGTTGAACTTTATGTGGATTTGGATAAATGTATAATGACATGTATGCCATTATGTATCATACAGAGTATTTTCACTGCCCTAAAAATTATCTGTTTACCACGTATTCATCCTTCCCTCTCTCTGGTCTCCCAAACCCCTGGCAATCACTGATCTTTTTATTGTTTCTATAGTTTTTCCCTTTCCAAGATGTCATATAGTTGGAATCGCACAGTAGCCTATTCAGATTGGCTTCTTTCACTTAGCAATATGTATTTAAGGTTCTTCCATGTGTTTTATGGCTCTCATTTTTCATTTATATCAAAATTTGGAAATGGAGTACATATTTCATGTATATGGCATTTGTTCTATATAATTAAACAAAGGACTTTTTTTGTTCTATGTAATTAAATAGATGGATTATACTCTGTTTCCATCTTTTTCCTCTCTTCCTTTGTTAATCTAGCTCAGAATATCCTATAACAGCTAGCCTTATAGTTCTCAAGGAAATTGGAATTAATCTATTACTTCCTCTTTCAACTATACTTTTTTGGGGGGTGGAGGGGAACCACACTACACAGTGATTTATACAGAGTTAAAGGAATGTTTTGCATTTTCACAAATAATAACCACAAAGTATAATTCCCAAAACAGCATTACCTTTTTTAAAAAATCAATTTTATTGGGGTAACATTGGTTAATAGCATCATGTGCATTTCCTGTATACAACTTTATAATACAACGTCTGTATATTCTACCACCCAAAATCTAGTCTCTTTCTGTCACCAAATATTTGACCCTCTTTACCCTCTTCATCCTCCCTCATCCCAGTTCCCCTCTGGTAATACCATACTGTTGTGTATGTCTGTGAGTTTGTTTGTTTTGTTCTTTTGCTTTTTGTTTTGTACCCCACATATCAGTGAAATCATATGGTTCTTGTCCTTTTCCATCTGACTTATTTCCCTTAGCATGATGCTCTCAAGATCCATCCATGTTGTCTCAAATGGCAGTTTTTCATCTTTTTGTGGCTAATATTCCATTGTACATACACACCACATTTTCTTTATCCAATCATTGGACAAAGGACACTTAGGTTGTTTCCATGTCAATAATGCTGCAGTGAACATAGGGGTACATATATCTTTACAAATAATTTGTTTAGATACCTAAGAAGAGGGGTTGCTGGTCATGTGGTAACTCTCTTCTTTTTTAAAAAATATTTTATTTATTTTTAGAGAGGGGAAGCAAGGAAGAGAGGGAGAGAAATACAGTGTGAGAGAGAAACATCAATTGGTTGTCTCTTGTATGTGCCCCAACCCAGGCATGTGGCCTGACTGGGAATTGAACCAGCAACCTTTTGCTTTACAGAAACATTCCCAGTGAGCTGAACCATACTGGTCAGGGTGGTAACTCTATTCTTAATTTTTTGAAGAACCTCTGTACCATTTTCCATAGAGGCTGCTCCAATTTACATTTCCACCGGCACTGTATGAAAGTTCCTTTTTCTCCACAACCTCTCCTACACTTATTTCTTATCTTATTGATAATTGTCGTTCTAATAAGTATGAGGTAGTATATCATTGTGGTTCTTAATTAGCATTTCCCTAACAGCTAGTGAAGTTGAACATCTTTCCGTATATCTGTTGGCCATTTGTATGTCTTCTTGGGAAAAGTGTATGCCCAGGTCCTTTGCCCATTTTTTAATTGGATTGTTTGTTCTTTCATTATTGATATTTCGTTATTGAGAAGATATTTTGTTATATCTTCTCCCATTTAGTTGCTTGCCATTTTGTTGATGTTTCTTTTGAGAACAGTGTTATCTGAGAATAAACCTGTCATTTAGAGATTCTGTCAGGCAGTAATTTTGTTTTTAAAATAACATTGTAAATGAATCACAAAAGTATTATTATCTTTGGCCCATCATCCAGGATATAAAAAGTCTTATAAATATCAGATCTTAGAATAGCTAAATGAGATTATATGGGATGTGGATATGGATGAGGAAGATGATGAAAGCATAATAAGCTTTTTGGAAGACATTATGGTAGCATGTGTTAAAACCATTAAAAAAGGTGTATTTTATCCTTTGACCTAATAAACCCCTATGCTATTTTAAGAAAGGAACAGAGATAGATTGACTTTAGAACTACAGTTTATGTTTGACCAATGCAGGGGTTAGGAATACCAACACCTGTGTAGTCAGAAATATACATAAAAATTTTGCCTCCCCAAAAACTCAACTACTGATAGCCTATTGTTGACTGGAAGCTTTATCAATAATGTAAATAATTAACACACATTGTGTATGTTACATGTATTATATACTGTATTCTTATGTTAAAGTAAGCTAGAGAAAAAAATGTTAAGAGAATCGTAAGGACAAGAACATATATATATATATATATATATATATATACACACACACACACACACACACACACACAATACTATACATTTTTATTGAAAAATATTCACATATAAGTGGACCTGCACATTTCAAACCCATGTTGTTCCATGGTCAACTATACTGATTTCAACATTATCTCTAGGGACAATATGAAAACAATATAAATGCCAGTAATAGGGAAATGGTTTCTCAATGTAGTACAGTGAAACAGCACCCCTTGAGTTTTAGTCTATAGTCCTCAGGTAAGGCAAAAATTTTCTGTAGTCATAATTACCCTTGAAAATCCCTTAGGCCATATTGGCATGTATCCTGTCTTAATATACTCAACTAAGCTAGTTTTTCCTTCAGAGAGGAATAGAGTTGGCTGTTTCTTTGATTAGGAGCCATAAATGTGTGGGGAAAAATACACATTTAAACACTAGAATCATAGAGCAATAGCTACTCATAGGTCCAAGAACTGAGAATTCTCCCATTTCATCCTTATTCTGGAGTGTGTGCTTGTGATTAAAATTATAAACATTGATGATTTGAATTGATAAAGAAACTGCAAAATGACTAGTATGAAATGTACCAAAAAAACTTTTAACAGTAATAATTATCTATGGGTGATTTTTGTTTTATTTGTACTTTTTCTAAATTTTTTGTAGTGAACATGTTTTACTTTTTAATTAGTAAAATGTTATTTAAAATTATACTGCACAATTAAAAATTATGCCTTTTTTTACCTGTCTCTCACCCAGCTATTGGAAGGATTATTGAGGTGTTTACTTAGCTATTTAAAGCTGTGCTTGGGTAGATCACATGAAAATTTGTGGTATGTTGTATATCCTAAAAATTGCCTTATAAACGAAATAAAAGGGCACCAGGAAGTCCTGAGTTTTCCTTAGAATATCTCTCTGCAGAATGGGTGTCAGGAGTAAAAAGGGATTTTGATGGCTAGGAAGGATCTACCTAGTTTGAAAAAAGAATAGGTTTTATGTTTTGTTTTTCAGTGCAGCTTTTGCATTGTGTATAGTTTACTGTGCTCTCACTTTGATGTCAGGAATATGGTGGATTTTTTTGCATATGTAATATTATGTATCTTTCCAACAACACTTTAAAATGAATATCCTTTCTTGGAAATACCTGCTTTACGAGTGAAATATTTAAAATAGGAGAAATAGAACAGCTTTCTTTTGGCCACACGGGTAGTTAAGGGACAGGTCTATCTAATTTCACTGTAAAATATTGCCTTTTGGGGTCTGTGGTCGTATGTTTTTTTTACCACCTATGGTATTCAGCTTGCATTCTGAAAATGAATAGTCAAGCTCTTAAGAGTCTGTTTGCATTAGCTACTTTTGCTCTTAGAGATTTGGTACACTTATTATTTTATATACTCTTAACATATTATATGGGGTAAGAACCCCAAACCGTATTTTCAATCTTACTTCCTTTTGTTTCTTTGTATTTAAAATACCGAATTTTTATGCCTGGAAAGCATTAGGTTAAAGGAAGATTTGCCATGTATACAATAATTACTATAAGTGGGAGAAATATAAGTATAATTCATACACTACCCTCTTACTTTAAAAAAATGAGGAAGATGGGAGCAGAGAAATAGAGATTGTGATGGCAGAGATGATCGGGCAGCATTTGGAAGCAAAGTGGACCAAAGTCGTAAGAATCAGTTCCTAATTATATCTTAATTTTATATTCATGGTTTTTATGTATGGAAACAGAATAAGCTTGCATAGATACCACAGAAATCTATACAGGGTTTTATTAAACAATTGAAATATAATGGGAGACAAAGGAAATGTCACATAGATGTTTGAATACCCATCAGGGTAAATGGACCCATATAAGCTTAGCTTTCTTTTTCCTAGTCTTCCTTAGTATACTGATGAGAAAGTAGTCTGATCACTGCAATTCTCTTTAGTCATTGCTAATACCTACTTCCCCCATTGCTTCTACAATAATTGTACTAGAATGGCAGTTGATTAGTTTGATGTTATTTGTAAAATCTTTTTAGCCATTGTAGAAATGGTCTTGAAAAAAATAAGGTAGTATAAATTAAGTACGAAGAGCACAGGCTTTTGTGTCAGCTTCCTGAGTTGGGGTTTTATTTTGGGTTTCTTTGTTTGTTTTGTTTTTCATTTTTCTTTTTTTGGCATATGTATTCTTTATTAAATCTTACTAGTATTCTTTAATGGACAAACACATAGATGAGTAGGCTACAGTAAAGAAATCTTCTTTTTATGAGAATTAAGAAGCCACTAAGATACTTCCAGATATTATCTTCAGTTATGCTTCTTATCTTTATTCTGGGACCCCAGGTAATATTCAGCCCCCACAGCTACCACAAATGCATCAAATCCCCATTTGAATCCTTTCAATATTGCACCAACAAAGGAAACATTGTTTGCAAAGCCACCCATGTATCTCCAGGCTTCATTGCGGGCCCATGGATCCCTTAGCCCTTGTGCAGCCAGCTTCTCCTGTACAATTTCTAACGGTGTCCCTTCTATCTTCCATTGTTTATAATCTGGAAGTTCCATTTTACTGTGACCATGTTCATGTCCATGTTCATGTCCATGGGCCATGTCTGACAGCAATCTGACCTCTCAGGACATTCAATATTCAACCCTGTGTTTTTCATTTTTCATTATTTATTTTTTCCAGACCTGGGTTAAAATTTGACTGTCCTTTGCTAGCTTTGGTTATTTAACCCCTGTGTGTCAGAGAAGGGAATATGGCCAGGTGTGTGAATGTTGGGAGGAACATTCCCAACATTCTTTTCTGGTTGTTGGGAAGAAGAAGTGTGCTGTTACACATGAATGACATCTATCCCAATGCCTGGCACAGAGGAAGTTCTTCGTGTTCCCTTTTCTCCTTCTCACCTCAATTTCTTTTACCTGAGGTTTTTAATTTGTTGTTGTTTCTATTCTAGGTGGATTGTAGACATGGAAGGTGCACCAGGTACCTTATATGAAGGGGAAAAATTTCAACTTCTATTTAAGTTTAGTAGTCGATATCCTTTTGACTCTCCTCAGGTAACTGCCTTGCTTTTTAAAATTTCATTGTATTTTTAGATTATAGCAAAATGCTCAATGAGTGATTTTTGACTAAGTAAAACTTTGTAAAATAAATTCATTATAATTATGTAACTATATTTATTTATTTTACTGTAATATAATCAGGATCTTATGAACATTTTATCAATACATTATTGAGATGAGGACTTTGCTGCTTTTATATTTCCAAGAACTTAAGACTTTCTTATCCATAGATGTTAGTAAAAAGGGAGATGGAAATCTAACTCAAGCTCATGGGTTGTAAAAGATTTTAGCATTCTGGAATAACGAGGCACTTGTTCCTAAATAAGATGATAGAATGATATTGTAAAGAGGTGAGAGCTTTTTTCAAAGGAGCACTTCTTTGATTTTGCATTGACATGCTGTCTTTGCAACTTTTTAGTACTGTAAGAACAGAATATATTACAAGCTGTTAAACAGCTAGATACCAGCCCCAAATCTGATCATTATAATTTGAGGCACTGTCAGTTTAGTTAATGGCTTAATACTTGGACAAGGGAAAATGATAGTGGAGGAACATTTTTGAGAGCTGTTTAACTGTGATAAATGAGCAGTCATTGGAGGTTAGAGAATGGGAAGCTCTAGGATGACTTCTGGATTTCTGCCTTGGTAAAGGTAAATGAGTTACTTGTTAGTGGCAAAATGATAAGACTTAATGCCAACTCTTTCTAGTATTGCTAGGTAATGAGGTGTTCTGGATGATGAAATTTCCCAAATACCTGAAATTAAACTTGTTGGATGCTAAAATAAGCTATTTTTTAAGGAAAATCATACTCATCACCACTTTAAATAGAATATACCATAGTCTAGTAGAATTAGACATAATGAAAAACAAAAGTAAATGTCTTCCTTCTCTCCAGAAGATGATCTTCACTTTCTGTTGTTGCCTTTTGGCTTATTAGAATCATTTTTAACTGTTAATGTGTAAAGACAACAGGGTCTCAGTTATATGAAGGAAAAATACAACTAACCAACTTGGAAGCTTTTGACTAGGGAGATGTTGGAGGCTTACTGTGGGAGCTCACACGTTTCACCAGAAGAAAATACTATTTTTTCTAAACATGAAACTAAGTCAAAAGGTTCTCTGATCCTTAGTATTTATATCTAAATCAAGGGTCCAAATTAAGCATCCTTTGTATTTCATCTTTAATAATTCTGTAAGTATGGGCATTTGTAGTAAATGCCCACCCTTCTGATTTTGGAGTTCTCCAAGTTCTTCATTCAGCTCTCCCTTACTTTTCTCAGTCTTCTCTCTCTTTAACTTCTTCAACTGTCTTAAGCAGCTGACTCCCGGATCTACAGCTCTGTGCACAACCCCTTCTTTCTGAGGTTTAGTTTCACACCCTTCTTGGACAACTCCTCTTGAATAACTCCAGACATCTCAAATTTAATACATTTAAACTCTATCTTTTTCGATTGTAAAGTAAACGGAAATTTGTTTTCTTGTGTTACTGTCCACTTCTCTGCTGGTGTTAAAATTTTTTCCTTATTCTCATTCTTGAATGCAGTCCTTTGGATCCTTTTGCAGTCATTTCTTACCTGTCAGTGCCCTAGTCCAAATTTTTATCTTTCATTTGGACTATTACAGAATAGCTTAGTTCTTTTTACCCCTAACCATCCTTTCACAGTACCATCAGATTACTTGGAAGTTGCAAATTACCTCATTGGTTTTTACATGTACACACAGAACCAGCATCCCACACCTTCCTCACTAAAACCTCTAATGGTTCATTATTTCCTGTCAGGTCTAAAAGCTCTTTATCTTAGCATTTAGGTCCCTTCATGGTCAAGTCAGAATTTAGTCATTCAGTCACACATTACTTCCATGCATTCTACTATATAGTAATGTTTATGTCATACTTTATAATGGAACATCCATCTTGGTTTTATCTTGTAACAGCTCTTAATGAAGAGGTTAGGAGGAGATGGGTTCATCCTCATTTTGTAAGTGAAGAAATTGAAACTTATAGAAGTGAAGTGTCTTGTTCATAGTTTAAAAGCTAGCTAGTAGAATAGTCACGACTCAGACCCATGTTACTTCTCTCTTATACTGCCAATTAGGAGTGAGTACCAGCATGGAAAAAATATCTCTATCCTTTTAGTAATGTTACCTCTGGAAGACAAAGATCATACGTAGAACGATACCTTTGAAAGCTCCAGGGCACTTGTTCCCAGCCTTTTGGACTATGAGAATTCCTTTTTTAACATCAATTCTATAGTGTCTTCCATGTCATAGAAGTTGGATACTTTAATATTCATAGTTAAGAACATGACAGAGCTGCTCTGAGTCCAGTAAAATTTTAAAATTATTTTTCAATTACATCATCTGTGTGGTTATAATGTAATTATAATGGGCCTAACTATAAATGCTTGATATGCATATAGACTTCAAGATTTTTGCAATAACAAATTTTCCAGAGGTACATTGCTCTGCAGCAGTGATTGGAACCACTCTGGAGCAGTATTTGATGAGACTTGGCAACACTGGAACTGGTTAGATAGTCTTTCATTCTCCTGTGCAGTACTAAATTTACCACTGTTTATAAAAGTAGAATATGGGAAAATGTCCCTAGAATAGATTCATCTCATTGTAAAATTATTTTTATATCTCTGAGATTTGTAAGACCATTTATAAACTTTATAGTTTGCTGTATTTTTCCTCTACTAATTATAATTAATTACTCAACATTATTTCACCTCATTGTAAAAAAGTTACCTAAATAAAATACGGTGTTTCGCTCAGTCATTTGCTCTAAAAGAAGCAATAACAACAACAACAAAAAACTTTTTTCAGTTAATACAGGAGCCAAGATGAGACACCTTTTCATTACTGGTTTCTACTAATGTACACTGATGATCAGCCGTACTTACAGAAAATAAAATTTTTATATACTCACATACTGCTTTTTTGTGTTAGAAATTAGGTAAGTGGTTGGTTAATTTAACATGTATTGAGCATGAATCGCATGCCAGTAATCATCTGTGTACTTTAGAGATTGGAGAGAGTACAGAAATTAAAAAGCATTGGTCCTTCCACCATGGCCAGGTAGCTCAGTTGGTCAGAGTTCTGTCCCCATACATTGAGGTTGCAGGTTTGATCCCCAGTCAGGACACCCACAAGAATCAACCAGTAAATGCATAAATAATTGGAACAACAAATCTCTCTCTCTCTCTTTCTCTCTTTCTCAAAAATAAAAATAAAAAGAATTGGTCCTGCCTTGTAATCTGTGTAGTATTTGGATAGGTAGACATTTATTCATTCATTTTGTAAGTATTTATTGAGCACATAGCATAGGATAGACCCTGTACCTAGGTATTGGTGATTCAGTGGTGAATGAAACTGCAAAAAAAAAAAAAGCCTGCTTTTGTGTAGTTTGCATTCTTGTAGAAAGAGACAGACAATAAGCAGTAAGTAAAATACAGTACGGAAAATGGGAAAAAGTAGAAAAGAAGAAGGAGGGTATTGTAGCTTTGGAAAGAGTGGTTAGGGAAGATTTCACCGAAAAAGTGACATTGGAGAGAGATCTGAAAGAAGTGAGTGAGCCCTGTGAAAGATGAGAGAGGAAGAGCAGGTGACTACAAAATGCAAAGTCCCTGAATCTGGTGACCCTGGAGTGGTCCATAAACTAGAGGGGGTGGGTGTAGGTCAGAGGTAATTTGGCCTAGAGGATTCATCACAGGTTGTATAGGGCATTTATAGCCCATTGGTAATAATTTTGAATTTTACTCTGAATGAAATGGGAAACATTTGAAGATTTTCAGCAGAGAAATAATACGATCCTACTTGAAATTAAAAGGTAAAAAGCTGGTGGTTGTGTGACAGATTGACTGCTGGGGGCCAATTGACTGACAGGGAAACCAGATGAACTATTGAAGAAATCCAGGAAGGATAGCATTGGAGGTCATGGAAGGCACCATATTTTATATCTATTTTAAACATCAAGTGAATTTACTGGAATTTACAGGATTTACTGATGTCAGAAGTGTGGGACAAAGCATGAGAAGACATGGCTGTTTCTGAGATTTGTGAACATATGTTATAGTTTTGTGTGTAGATCATGGAAGGCTACAACAGGAGATCAAAGTGAGTGTATCTGGGGACCTGTCAAAATGGTAATGTGAAGCAGTTGGAAATTCATCTCAAAGGAATTAGGAGGTACAGTCAGTCTACATCAAACTATAGTCTTCAAGCTTAGTATCTTACTGTTTTTCTTTTCCTTTTTACCTCGTTCTTCATATCATTGCTTTTGCTTCTTGCAGATATCCACTATCTTAGACCCTCTTCCTCTTTCAGAACATCCAACCTGGAAACAAACAAATCTGAAACACCTCTACATTGTCTTGTAACTGTTCCAGTTATACTTGTTATTAAGCTTTCAAATAATTTTTGTTGGAGAAATTTTAGGCATTTTAGAAATAGGAAGGGAAATATGTTTTTAGGAGGAAAAGGATACTGTGTATTTAATTTTGAAACCATGTTAATGCTAAGAGCAGACCTGAAAATATACTCGCCGTGATTAAGTTTTAGAAACTTTTAAAAAAGAGTA